TTACTAAATAAACTTTCAATTATGCAAATTTCCACAATTACCGTATTTGCATCTGATGCATTTAAGTTAATCATATTTTTAATTTAGATCGATAACAAAATGATAAATACCCTTAGTTTTAATAATATAGAAATGTAGATATATAAAAACAAATAAAAAATATTTAGAAACATTATCATGTATGCATTATGCACAAATATTATAACCAATATGGAATTCTATGTTTTTCTATATATATAATATCCATCTTAATTATTTTGCGTATATGTTCTTTACCGTTATAATTGTTTGGCAAACACGCAACTTCGATTCATATAAACCATTTTGATATAACTTAACTTATTACTAAACAAAACCTCAATTAAACAAATTTCAACAGTTGTAGCCAACTAYATCYGATRCGTTTAAGTTAATCGTATTAATATAGATCGATAACAAGGTTATCATTTAGTTTTGAAGATAAAATAAGAAATCTTAAAAAAAAAATTGTCACAATTAGAAATATTAGATTACATAATTTCAAGAGATTTAAACACCACCTCATAAAAGACTTGAATGTACTTACATAAAGAAAGAAAACATATCTGAATTTAGGAAAAAAACCAATAAACAAAAACGGAAGATCTGAAATAATTACAGAAACAAATCTGTAAATTAAATTTAAATCTCTTATTTTGTTAAAAAAATCTTTAGATAAAGAACCATTAATCGATTCAATTTTCTTTTTCTTTATATAATAAAACTTTTTGTGTTTAATTTCTGTTTCCTCATCGTATTAATCTTTAAAAACTCATCCTTTTATATACAAAGAAGATTCTCTCCGTTAAAAATTGATACTTTCTCTCTCCTTTTTCTCCGCCGGAGTCGTTCACTTTCTCCGGCAGCTTACAAACCCTAACCCATYTCCGGCGTCTTCTTCGCTGCGAAACCGGTAAACTATTTCTGGGTTTCTCGAACCTCTCTGTTTTCTAATCGTTTAACGAGTCAGTGATAGAGTAGGACTCACAATTCTCTTCGCGTTTTCCAATTATCGATGGATTCTTGATTGATTTGGGGATTTTGATTTCTTTGTTGTGACGGTATAATCTCAGAGAAGAAGCTTTTTAATGGCGGATACCGAAATGCAAGAGCAAGATTTGCCTTCTGGTGTTGAGACTAGTGCTCCTGTTGAGACCAAAGTTGTAGAGAACGAGACTTCAGAGCCAGAGAAGGAGCAAAACTCCATYGAAAGACCCAATTCTCCTGTTCCTGAGGATAAGACTCTTACTTTAGACAGTGATGTTCATTTGTCTGATGCTCCCATTACTAATGTAACYGAAGCTAATGAAGAGGTAGGTGGTGGTGAGAAGAACAGTGTTGATGTGAAGAATGATGATGTTGATCAGTCTGAAAAGAAGATTACGAGTGATGTTGGTCAAGAGGAGACAGCACTAGGGGAATCAGCTCCTCTTAAGGGTGAACCATCGACTCCTCATGTTGCTGCGGGTGAGAATGTTAAGAAGTGGAAGACATGGTTGCTAAGTGATTCCGAGGTAAAGGAAACACGTTTCCTTCCTTCACGTTTGAGATAATTAGCCTCTCTGCGTTCAGCGTCGAATACCGTTGCTTTGTGGTCATAAGTGGTTCTGTTTCATACAAGTTTACGTTTTTCAACAGGTCGGGGAAGTTGCTGAAGCAGGGACACCAGAGGATCAAGAGGCATTTATTAAAGAAGTGGAGAGGTTCCACAAGGAGAGTTTCTTGGAATTTAAAGCTCCTAAGTTTTATGGACAGCCTTTAAATTGTCTCAAGTGAGTTGCTGGAAAGTGTTGCTTTTAAGTCTTGTAAAATTGCATATTGCTGGCTAACCCTTCTGCATGGTTTGCTTTTCAATGTAGGCTATGGAGAGCCGTCATCAAGTTAGGTGGCTATGACGTGGTAATTATCCATTTTCGTACTTTATAAGATTTCATGTTTACTAAGATCTTGTCCTTCTTCGCGCCATCATTTAGGTTAAATATCTTCGAGGTTATCATACACGAGTCATGTGATTTGATTTCTGGTTTATGTTTCGGGTTGTGGATTATGCGTGAACTATACGTAAACTAGAAAAGTTCGTGTTTTTAGCTAATGAATCCGAGGATGATTGGCAATGGCTTCAGGGAGAAATTAAGTTGATGGAGTTATATATTAATTATGTTAGGTCTGTGTTTGGCAACTGATCTAGTTTACTGTCGTCTGCTTTGTTTGGAGATATTATATTCATATCTAGCCCTGGTTCGGTGAAATTCTATACTTGTGGACTGTGTCATTCAAAATTCCTGTGATTTTCATTTTCTTACATAGGTCACCACATCTAAGCTATGGCGGCAAGTTGGAGAATCCTTCCATCCTCCAAAGTATGTCTGGTTTTGTCCTTAAACTCCTCAATCTTTCCATTTTTGTATGATACTGACGTTCCACAATTTTTTTTTCATTGCCTTTATTCAGGACATGTACTACTGTCTCCTGGACCTTCCGCATTTTTTATGAAAAGGTGAATTTCATTTTTTTTTTCCTCTTAGTACCAGATATGCATCGTGATTAACAAGTTTATACATGTTCAATTCAGACAATCTCCTCGTGCTTCTTTTCTGGTACTGTGTCTGTGATTAGCTATAATTGGTTTTATTTCGTGGTAAA